CCACGATACTGTGAGTCCAATAATACTCACCCAATCACGGACCAAGTTGATTAATACTCATTAAGACACGTTGAAATTACCATCCCTAACCACCTATAGTTGACTGGGCCTTAGGCCCACTTATTTCAAGCGTCTAGCTTTAAATGGGGTTTTCTAATGATGGACCAGTGTATGGGCCCTTCTACTCATAAACACAGCCGGCCAACACTACAAATCTTGACGGACCCAAGAAAAAAGAGGGCCAGTCCCTCTGATATTATTATGGCATTGATCTTTTCGCTCTCTCTATATATGCTGTATATATATATGCTCTCTGGATAACCCCTCCAAATTTTGTGAATTCGATTGATCTCAAAGTGAAAAAAGGGTTCTTGGATTCTAGGTGAAGTGGATATGGATTCACGGATTATCTTCTCACTCGATGGTCTCTACATGTAGAAAGTAGTGATGAAGGTTCAAGAGTGCTATACATGTCCAAGTCTTCTCTAAAATAATTACTAGAGTTGGGCCCGCCCGTTGGCCGGATGAATTAGATTAAGAGTGTAAACACTAAGAGTAATTATGCGAATAATTTATTTGGTACATAAAAGAACCTAAATTATTCAATAACTAAACATATAAAAAATATACATTACAAGTGTTACAACATCTTGATCATTTATGGACAAAAGTCCTTTATCAAAAGTAAACAACACAACTCAGGTAGGAATGACAATGAGGCAGGTCCGGGGCGGGTTTCTTGGTACCCAGACCCGCCCCGTGGCAGGTCGGGTAATTTATCATGGATCGCAGGTCGGGGCAGGTTGACCCAATGGGTATGCAATTTATATGAAAAACATTAGAAATATTCGTTATTTTTATTATAAGACCAAGAAAACAAACAATATTACGATTAATGTAGTTAAATTATTAGAGAAATTGAGGTTTTCACTAATTTACAACTTTATTATAGCTAAATTATGATATAATAAAAGAAAACTCCTAAGTAATTTGACTAAGATTACATGTAATTTAGGCGAGAACGGGTCGAGAATGGGGCGGGTCAGGGCAGGTCGTGTCAATAAGAGTACCCATGCCTGCCCCGCCCCATAACAGGCCAAACAGGTCGGGTAAAACGGGTCAAGTCGAAATTGTCATCCCTACATGGAGAGGTAAATGATTCTTAAAAAACTTAATATTCAAAATGTATTTCAATTTACTCTTTGTTGCTAGAAGTTATCACAATTTTCCTTTTGGATTTCTTTTTTATTTCCCCACCATAAAAAAAAAAACATCTTCTCCACACAACTTCATCTTGATTATTGAAACTTCATATTCACCATCAATAGTCTCTTAACTTCCTTTTCTCCTACATTTCATTGAAAACCATTTTAAATTTAAAATTTTAGAAAATGTGAAACATCTTTTCACGATGCTAGAATTTCACCTCATATGAATCAAATATTTCAACCATTCGCTCTTTCCTGCTATCACATATATTTCTATATCAACCATCAATAATATCTTTCTTTATCTCAATAACATCCTTATCTCCATATATGAATTCACTACTTCTGATATTAACATATTCTTCTTTCTTCTCCTACATTTCATTGATGCAAAAATTTAATGGCAATTTTTTTTGAATTATGAAAATTCCATTTTCAAGAATTTAAATTTACCATGTAGATGTCATGAACTTTGCGCGAGATTGCACTTATTCATTCTTCATTATCTTCAAAACTGGGTACCCACTTATGGGGTTCACGATGTTGTAATTTATGAGCTTCATAAGAAAATTTAACTTCGTGTTTTGTTTGTATGAGATGAGAAGGTGAATGTTCTCTCATTTTGTCACTATCTTTGAGTAGTTTCTCGACAATCATTCCAAAAAGTCTAGCTCCCTCGTGATACAAAGTTAGATAGAACAAATATTGTTCATAGCTCACAGCTAATCCTGAATCTATAAAATAACAACAATTGAAATATATTATTCGGTTGAAAGCTTTATATTTTAGTGGGTACGTTTTTTTTCTCTCTAATGAATGAACTTGAAGTTAAAAACAATTAAAGAGTAGATGTAGATCACTACCTAACTACTATTGTCTTTGGTGTTGTATAATTCTTATAAAATTAATTTTAAATTCAGTCTTCGGTGTTGTATAATTCTTAGATATATTGTTCGTCATAGTCTTCTTTAACTTCTCTTTGGCAAGTTACAATTAATATGGTTTTCCTAACCTATTTAAAATCAGTGGAAACAAATGAGATATAGTCCGCTAATTTGCGAGAAATTGAAAATCCCTTAGTAATAGCTCTTGAGATTTGAGCCAACAGTAAGTAAATGAGGTTATGCACCAAAATTTCAGCCCTTTTACTTGATTGTTTGAAGATCATACTAGAACACTATTTTGTCAATAAGGTGATTCTCCAAGGTGAATATATTTTTAATGCGTAGAACAATAAATATAATACTTAATAATTGTATGAATTGATTTAAAAACTCAAAATAATGTTGAAGCAGTTATAACATAAAAAATAAGATGTTACTGCCAAAGCAAGTTTTGATAATAATTATCATCATACTAATATTTGTTTAAAACCACGCAAGTTTTAAATCTCTCTCTAATATTTGATTAAAATCAAACAAAGTTATGAAAAAAGAAAGAAAATGGAGTTGTCATTTTCTACTATGTAAAGAAAACAATACATAACAAACTTAGATCTAAGGTGGTATGAGAAAGAAATTATCTAGCTACTGCTTTTAAATTTTGAACTTCTAGTCTCTAGATATAGATTGTGATCTATATTTTATCACTAGAAGAGAAAATCAAAACCTAAAAGAAGAATTAAGAAATAAATAATAATTAATTAAATAATTATTGATAATTACATTCATTAAACCTTCTCACTCTTATCAATTCTCATTAACGTGTTGAACTTTTCTATTTTGTATCTATTTTATGAAAAACCTCAAATACAAATTTATAAATGAAAAGTATTTGATTTGTGTAGTTAATTAATTAAGAATTAGTTAATTAGCAAAGTCACATATATAAGAGTTTGCCTTAAACACTTAATCTTATAATAAAAAGAAATTAAATAAATAAACTAAATCACATATAGACACCCACGACACAACCTTATAATAAAAAAAGTTATTATTATAATAATTGGTTTTATAAAAGTTTCCAACGACGTATTTTGTTCCATTAGTATAATTAATGAATGTCATTTATTAATTAAGACGCCAAAAATATCTTTCCTAAATTCACTGAGAAGGTTGTAAATTTTGAATTAAGTACCTTCTCATGGAGAACCTCTTTATATTAATGTTATGATGATGATATTATCCATATCTAAAACTAATAGTTACCATTACGAGAAACCCACATGTTTTGCAAATTGGAATTTGGATTAATATTTTTCTTTGCTTTAAATCTGTCAAAATTTTAATTCATGTAGATTGTACTCAAATAGGACACAAATATAGGAGGAAGCAAACTGAAGAACGTAACAGGATTGCATTGCACTGCAGGGCAAAGAAATTATTGGTCTGAAATGACCAGAGAGACCTTCCTTAAGTTGCGCAGAAGCTAGCAATTTTTCAATTGTGTATGTTCTTATGGGAAACGTGTATATAGTATTGGTAGGATTTCTACTCCTCGACATTTACTCCAGATGAATTTGTAGTCATTTTTAACAATAGCTAGAATTGATGGCATCGAAACCTCTCTTCACAATCAATGAATCATTCTCAGCAGTTGGGGTGTGGACGATATGTGCTCATATATACATATTTTGGCCCACATTTTTTTGATGGTCTCTTGACTACTTACCTTAGAAACCATGTCTTGTTAGCGGATCTTATGCTAGGTTGTGGTTTATTTTGCCATATTTAATGTCCTAGCATATAGAGAAGGTTTGGAAGAGTGTTTCGATGCATTTGAAGGCCGAAACGAGACCAAGGAGAACCATGGCCAGACGTCATGGTCAACAATCTCAAAGTCACGACTGTGAGAATCTCATTCCAAGCCATGAAAGGTGTCTAGGGGTTCTGATCGAAAGTCACGAGCATAAATGTCAAAAGTCACGCCTGTGAATTGCCTGGTGCCATTAAGGGAAATAGATCGTTTTGGAAAGTCACGACCATGACTTTGTCACTACTTCTAAATAGATTGTCTGCGATTTGGTAGAGCTGAGTTTTGGACTTCAAATCAGAAAGAAGACGCGAATCCTAGAGAGTGAGTGCGACCTTAGAGAGTTCTTGGAGTAAAATTAGACAATTTCTTTACCATTATTGGAGCTCGAGGAACAAGATTAGAAGAGGAGTCCAGATAGCGGATATGAAGAATCATACCTCAGTGATCTTTCTCATTCTGAAACTTAGTCAAGTTAATCACTTCATTCATAGTCTTAGTAGTTTAAAGTAATCATTTATGAACCTGAATCGGGTAATAAATAAACTGAAGTTGAGTAGTGGTAGTTTCAGAAACTCGTAGCGAAAATGTAATAATAAGGCGAGAGACACAGGAGGTCGTATCCATAACTCAGTTGGAGATCTACAAAGAAAACCCCCCTCAAAAGGATAACAACATTGTAATTACTAATTACCCACCATAAAACCAAAAGAGAGGTTGAAAAATTATTCTGACATATATATATTCACAAACAAACAGAAGCAGAGCTCCTGCCAATTAAACTACGTACAATTGAAGATTGAAGAAATTTTCACTAAACACATAGGAAGAGACGTGGAGAAACAATAGAAGACTAATAGGTAATACTAACTAATAATGCAAATACATATGTTTTTTTATCATTATTGTTTCTGTGTTTTGCATGTTGATGGAAGGATCGATGCATGCGTGTACAAATAAATATAGCTAGGCTGGCTAAAACTGATCATATATGTTGGGGAATCAATGAAGCTACAGAAGGCGTCGGCCACGTCGGTAGCTCGTAGACTGATGATCGGTGTGATCCGGTGACGGCGGATGAACGGAAGAAGTAGGATTAATTTAGGAAGGAGGAGGAGGAGGAGGGTTGGCGGCGAGGAAGATCATGTGTTCGGCCTCGGAGATCCGTGAAGCATGGAAGTGCGCGATGAAAGCTGAAGCCTTTGTGTCGATTCGAGGATCCGCCACCCATTTCCCCGCCTTGTCCTCGTCGCTGGCCCACACCCTCCTCCCGCCGCCGCCGCCGTACTCCTCCGCTGCGCCGTAGTCCCCGTACGATGATGATGACCGGCGGCCGCCTCTGAACAAGTTGCCCCAGAACGAGCCCCCGGACTTCGACCTTCCCATTATCGTCGACTGTGACTCACTTGATTTTTTCTGTGTTGGGTATTGTTTGAATAATATGGATACTTGAGAATGGTGTATGTATGTATGTTTGTGATGAGGATGATCTGGCTGGAAATTGGGAGAGTTGGGCTTCTTCTATTTATACTGCTAACACCATCTCTGCAATTTGCTAGCTGGTAACTTATGCATGTATGTACAGTACAATACGTACAATGATCCTGAGAGAGAGAGAGAGAGAGAGAGGACCTAGCTACCAACCTACCCTACCCTACAATATTGAGGAGGGATACCCAAATCGCCTTTAAATTTGGGGTCAATATATTAGTATCTATATCAGAAAGCTAAGGGTAAAGGCAATGGATGGAGCGCCCTTAGTTGTGGCCTGCAGGCTGGCTGTCCAATTATTATGATATGATATGCACGAACGCGGGGTGGGTGGTGGTCTTTGGGTTGGGAAAAAGAATGATACAAACTGTGTTGCTACGGATTGGGAAATCGCCGGAATCGAGAAAGCAAGAATGCGAAAACAGAAAGCACACGATGTGTGTTAGCTAGTCCACGGGCAAGAGAGCCAGTTTCACTATATATCGAGGAGATTACAGATTACAGAGGAGATGATAGCCCGATTCAAGTCACATCGATCAACAAAGAATGTTTAATGGGTCTGATTCGTTGGATAATTCGATGAAATTGTAAGGATTCGAGATATTTAGGTCGGAGCTAATTAACGAACTCAGATGAGTTTTAAATGAAATGATTTTGAGTTTGGATTGGATTGGGTTAATTGAATCCAATTCGGATTCGACTCAAATGGCTTTATTTGGATTCAGACGATTATATTGTACACAGAAAAAGATAATATTAACCATCTCATTAACTATGAACAACAGTTTGGTCTAGTAGTAATATCACTAGTTTTGAACCTGGAGGTCCAGGTTCGAATATCTTTTTTTTTGGGGTAAAAGGTTCGAATATCTTAAGAAGTACCCAACGGAAAAAAAAAACTTATAAAAGACAATCTCATTAACTGCTGTCAACCCAATTATACATATTTTCATATTTGACGCTTCCAACATTTTGTTTGTTCCCGTATTACGAGTTCAATTTAAATCCGAACTAAAAAATTGAAAATCTTCTGTCGGAAAACAAAATTACCGAAATCTAATTTGACTCGTACTGAAATGAGTTCGGACAATACCCAAATATGAAGTCTTTTCTTGCCATCCCACCTCCTCCAAGCAAGGAGAAGAAGAAAAAAAATTCAATAAAGCAAAGGGCAATTACAAGAGACAGGACCCGGTCTCCTCTTTCATTCCCACTTCAGTCAGTCAGTCAGTCATGAACGCATGTGTAGTGGTTCCTAGCTGTAGCAGAAGGAATTTTGCTGGTCTCTTTGTTTGTTTGTTGGTTGGTTGGACTCAAAAGTAACTAATTACATGCTTTATTATAAAATCTCTGCAAATGCCAATGGATGGCTGTGAAGAAATATCCCTCTCCAACCCTAGCTTCCTTTCCACCATGGGCATCACTTCCTCTTCACTGTTCTTCTTGCCTTTTTCCCCCTCTTGTTCTTTATATAACACCTAAACTCGATTTGTACGTATTATTTATGCATACTGCTCTTATACATTTATGTAATGTGAACACTAAACACGATCGATGGAGATATCTTTTGGGTTAGGTGGGGATTGCTAATAATGAAAGTGATCAGCTAAGAGATCGAGGAGGCGATTACGTACAGATTTGAAGGCATCTATATAATATAGCTTCTTCCTTTTAGCATAAAAGACAACTGTTCCTTCATTCATTCTTATCGACTGAACCATATACAATAACAATGCTGTATACTAATTACATGTATATAATTCTATTAACAAAAGAGATCGATACAATATCAAGGATATATGGCAAAGCCAAGTTGGCTCAATTGATTCTCCAAATAATGGGTCTCGATCAATTTCTTAAGAAAAAGCAGTGGTAATAGTACTGGTGTGTAATTCTCAATTCTATTTAGAAAAAAAAAAGATCAAAGACAGTAACATGTTAATGTTCAAATTTAATGTGGTGCAAGGCAAAAGTATCGTACAACAAGTGGATGTCAAACAGGTTAGGAATGAGTCTGTGCCCACCAATATGACATCCTTCTTTGTCTCAATGAACTTAATACGTTCCTTTTCAATAACGTTTTGCAAAATATGATGAAAAGCTACGAAAGTATCGGTGAAATGTAACATGTTGTTATGCCACTTTCAACAAATTTTTTCATATTAACTTCTAAGGTGGTAGGATACTATGTCTCCCTGTCGACTTGACTTAACCATATTGATAATATTGGTTGAAGATCAAGTCAGATTTTGAGACTTTCAAGGAGCACTCCAGTGGTTGGACGGGCCCACTATTGAGCCTTCCTCACTATGGCTCATTCTCAATCTTAGCTAAAAGAAGCACATATGAATGGCTCATCGGAGCTAGCTCAACCAAGTCTAACTCTACCTCATTGGTTTCTTAACAAACATGCTTAACATTATAGTTAATGTTAGGCAAATACTGCTTCCTTGAGCCACTTCTTATATTCTCCTCATTTTGGAGAAGAGACTCATACCACATTGCACAATACATAAGTTGGAATAAGTTAAAGAATTCCATATCTTTGAATTTCTTCATAAACTCAAAGTTCAACCTTTTTTGTTAGCTTGAAAAAATTCTTTCTATCAAGTTAACAAAACAACGTTTGCAAGCATTCTTGAAGTTGGTCAATAAAATATTCGACTGGTTACTCTGGATATTGGCACATATATACATGTCCAGTCAATCATGTGGATTTGATCTATAGAAATGAGCACGTAAGATTTGATTCATCTATTGCCAAGTATGGATGGAGTTAGATGACAAGTTGATTACCAAGTAAAGACTAACCCTGTCAAAATGTTGCCAAACAACCTTAGCTTAACAAAGCCTCCCACATCATCACACTAAGCACTAAAACATCCAACATATGTTCCATAGTGGATTGGTCATTTTGCGAAAGTGGTGAACTCTGGAACCTTGAAGTCACTTAGGAATGGGTAGAATCAATCTACACACTCACGATATGGCTCTTGTTACACATTGAGGCATGATGTGTCTCACTCCCATACCAAATCTCTTGTCGGTGGCCGGTCTGGCACGAGAAGATGAACTGTCGTAAATGAGTCAAGCTGGATCTCAACCTTTCTATGACCTAGTGTCCCACGAGAGTTGAAGGCCTTTGAGCGCACCAATTACTTGTGTGCGAGTGATTGTACACATTGTCAGGTTCATTGAGTACCGCTAAATTAAAGTCCGTTACCAAAACATAACTTTTCATATATGCTTGGAATTATATAATAACTTAGATATAGTGACAGCAATGTCCAACTTTCAGCCCTTAGTTTACAGTCATTTACTAATTTAGAGATCGAAAAGTAGCCATTCCCTTGCCTACTCCACGATAAATAGTTTAATAATTACCGACTAATTCTAATTACCCGCAAGACTGCGTTACGTGCCTTTATCCTCTCCTACCTAACTAGTATTAGCTATCTAGCCACCCTGCAGCTGGCTAAGTTATTCTTCTCCACTCATTATTTTGCATCTCTGCAACTAAGGCAACATATTTTTGTTCTTTACTTTCTATAGGGAACTTTCCACTTTCAAACTCGGTTTCAAGGATTGGATCGGATGGTTTCCCTGCAGAGTCATTTCTCCTTCACCAAGTTTCATAATCATATATGACCATTACAGTAATCATGAGTATCTTATACAAACCCTCAAAAAGAAGTAATTAACAATTTCTTGCTCTGGAATATATACTCTGCCTGCTAGCTGTTTGATACATCTACGCGAAAAAACGTACATGTACATCTTTTGGTGATGGTGATGGGAAAGCCCCATAACACGTGATTATGTAGGAATAATGAGAATCAGTTCATCCCGAGTTATTAGAAGAGATCTAAAAATAAGTAAACGCTTTCATCTATTTTTCTTTATGAAGTATAATAGATGTATGCAGATATTATACTTTATATCTTTTGATATAATTTGAATCGGACTATCTGATTATGACTAGAAGTCATGAGAGCCTCTTATCTTATGTCCATGAATCAGCTAACACACATTGTATTAGTGAACCACATTGACAAACATACTATTGGACTATAGTGTACATATTGGAGTCTTCGGCACCCGATTACTCTGCCAAAATATATGATTAAAAATAATATAAGCGGTAGGTTGGGACATGATCTCCCTTCGGGCACACAATCAATTGTAAATTTGTAATAATGCCAAGCTTTGTTAATGTAGCTACAGCTGTAGCTAGAGAAAAAGTGTCAAAAGAAATTGTATGGGGAAAGGAACACAATAGGAGCTACATAAATTGGTACTCTAACATTAATATAATACACACGATAGTGAGCAAATTAGTGCAGCAGTCAAATGGAATTTCAGAATTTGTAAAAGAGACATATGTATTATTATATAGACACAATAATATTGCAGTTGTACTTGCGAGGGTTCTATCAGTTTGATATACATTTTTATTGGTTTGGGTTGAGGGGGTTTCCAGGCAAAAATAATTCAAAGGATCCAAGGATGGTCATTTTTCTAACTAAAAATCTTTTAGATTTGGAATTACCAGTGCTGTTAAAGCCGACCCGAGCCGGCCGGTCGGACCGGTAAAACCGGCACCCGGACACCAGCCCGGGTCGGAAGCCTCCAATAGCCGAAACGGTCAGAAATGTCGGTTTTTGAGCGGCTGAAATGGTTAACCATTTGAGCCGCTCGAACCGTCCGACCGGTTTTTGGGTTTTGGCCGTTTATAATTATAAAAAAAAAATTTGACAGAAAGCTTCTAGGGTTCAATCGCGCCGGGGTGGGATTTCTCGACGATGCAGCCGCTGCCGGCAAACCCATCGTCCTCTGTGGTTTCACTAGCGCCATCGAACTCCAACTTCTTCTTCGATCGAAGCGCGGTGTTCCTTCCCGATGGCGGTAGTGTTGTTGTTGGGTTCTCAACCCTCGTATGCAGAGAAGAGCTCAGCCAACTGATCGTTGTCCTCCAACCCTGTCGCTTCATCTCCGTCGCTGTAAGGGTGAGAGAGGCAGAGAGAATTTGTGAATTGTGGTTGTAAGAGAGAGATGCATAAAGAGTTTGGGAAGAAATGAAACAGAGATGGAGAAGAAGAGAGAGGGGGGAGGTGGTTGGGTTCAGGGGAGAGCTGTGAGCGGCGCTCTCAAGGGTTGGTGGGGATTAGAGTTAGGGTTTTTACTTTGTTGTTATATATATATGTGGTAAATTTATTAAATGGTACCTGTAAAGTAAATTGCATTTTAGTCATTAAATTGTTAAATTACTACCTTAGTTGTTTTCTACTTATGATATTATATTTTATATAAGGTGTCGGTTCTCTAACGGTTTTTTAACGGCTCAATACCGGTTGAACCACTAAAGTCCGAGCCGTTCACAATACCGGGTCATACTCCGGTTCGGTTTTGACAGCATTGGGAATTACTTTCTCTCTCGTTCTGGTCTAGGGTTCTGCCTCGATGGCGGTTCGGTCTTTGATGGCTCCAGCCTCCGGTGTCTTCTGAGATGCCGATGCAGTTTCGACTATTCACTGTTACAGTACTAGAGAATTGTCTTCGTTTTTTGCCCCGCTGAACTAATGACGGATGGATTTCGCTTACCTAAGGAAGTTCGGGAGAAAGAGATGGTTAGATGGAAGTACTGTTTAATTGGTCAATTTGTGAAAAAGTAAAGCGCGAATATGTAAAATAACACAAACGAGATTCCAGCGCGAAATTTAAAAATATAATCCGTTTGTGTTACTCATACCGTAATTACAAATTGATTGTACGAATCTTATGAGTATTGGATAATAAAATTCATGAAACAAAGTGATCCACATAACTAAAAATCATATTTAAATTCCATAAAAAAATTCCTCCAAATCTTCATACTTTTTTTTCGTTTTTGAATAAGAGCTTCATATTGATTGCTTGGGCTCTAATTATGAAAACTTGATGATCGGCCACGGGCCATAAGCACTTATCCCCGCCACCTAGCCCAGCCCAGCCCAGCCAAACTTAGGTATAACGGAAGGTTACTGGGAGCCCGATCGAGAGGCCGCATCATCTACTGCTCGTCAATTGAAGCCCAGCCCAGCCTTGTCTTGGCTAATGCCTGCAAAGTCGGACGGTCAATGCAGCCGCAGCCGCAGCCGAAGGAGACACTGGCATCTCCAGGGACCGGCTTCCACCCTCACGAACAGCGCCACCGGATCCCGTTCCTCTTGTTTCCCGTACCTGGCTTCTTATATATGTTCTTGTAGGCCACCATCCAAAAGATAGATAGATAGATAGACAGCCCACATAACTCAAAAGCTGGTCTTGGCTCAAGCTTCCTTCATTCATGCTGCAATTCCTTTCCTATGAGTTCTTCCAAGTTCCAAATCCTAAGACACAATCAGCCACACAGTAATCAAACAAGAGAGCACTTTGTTTCAAAAAGGAAGTAGGCCTTAATGCACTCGAACATATCCTTAATTCAAAAACACCATGGATGGTAAGCTAACCAACATCATTAGTTGACACAGATTAGCAACTCCGCAAGCATTTCTAATTGTCTCTGGTCCATTCCACCTATTATGTTGCAATGAATCTACAGTGACAATGCTGTCAATCATCTTCTTAAGAAACATTCAGAAACCGGGGCGACAGAATCATATCTGGGCAGCAAACAGAACTAGAAAAAAACAAGACAACGGCTTGATTTCACAAAGGCAGCAGGATCAATCCACTCAAGAACATTTAAGCGTTACTTACCACAAAGGACCTCGAGGAGGTGGGATGTCGAATCGAAAGCCATGAACCCACTGATGCAGATCTCCACAATGCCTTCCCCAATCTTCAGAACATACTGCAAATTTTGCAAGGAATCGATTCATGAATGATTAATGGTTTGCTGCAGTCCACAATGGCCAAATGTGATATGGAAAAACCGTTTATCACCTTGTCGGGCGGTTCTCCGTCGGTTGTCGGTTTTGCTAATGTCTGCCGGTAAGTTAGTCACCGACGGCTACCGAATAACCGAGAGAAACCGATTGCCACAGGCCAAAACGACGAGCCCCAAAAGAGAAACTCAGGCCTCGGCAAATCCCTAATATCCTCGAGAGGCCGAGACTCGACCTCCTTTTCCACTCTCCGCCGCTCACCTCACCCACCAAAACCCTTCCTTCCTCCTCGGTCCTCTCACACTCTCCGCCTCACCCACCAGAACGCTTTCCTTCCTCCTCATCGTCGTCTCCGGCTCTCCGCCGCTCACTTCCTCGATCCCATCCCCAGGAAGCAGCAGATCGACAGCGGCTTTCGCAACAGATCGGGACACCAACGACGACCCAATCCCATTCCTTGGTCTCCGCCATTCACGTCCTCCCTCCCCAAGCAGCAGCGAGCAGCAGGCAACCAATAGCAGTCCTAACCTGAAAATCAGAAAAAATGTAAGCTTGTGTTCTGTACTTTTATCTCCTCTGTTAATTGAGAAGATGATGGAGAGGATTTCGATTGTGTACTTATCTCCTCTGTTCAATTGTTCAGGACAAGACCTCCTCGCCGTGGACGTGGTCGTTTTGGAGGTAGATCAGGTGGTCGGTCTTCCAAAGTTGCTGCTTCAACAAGTAAACCTTCCATGGCTGTTACAACTATGGACCATCCATCTGCACCAGTACGTGCATTAGATGCACCACTTGTCTCGACCCCTGTAGGTGCAACGTCAGGTGATGCTGCCACGGAGTCTAGTGGTGTGGGAATGGGAAATGAAGGTAATGAGGCAAATAAAGGGTCCGAGGAGGATGGTGGTCAGGTAGGCACTCTTACCTCGTGGAAGTTTGATCTTACAGAAGCTAGGGCTGCATTAGCTATGATGATAATATTGGATCAGCTGCCATTTCGATTCGTTGAGCGCGAAGGGTTTAAGAGTTTTATGGCTATGGTTCAACCATTGTTTGTGATACCTGAGAGGCTGGCAATTCGAGAAGATTGTCATCGCATATTTTTGGAGAAAAAAGAGTTGTTAATTGAATTTTTCAATTCAAAGTGCAAAGGAAGGGTTTCAATCTCCCTGGATACATGGACTTCCGATTCCGACCAGAATTATATGTGCGTGATGGCTCATTTCATTGGGGATGATTGGAAGTTGCAGAAAAAGATCATAAGTTTTGTTCCGATCACAAGTCATTTGGGAGAGGATATTGCAAAAAAATTGTCAGCATGTCTAGAAGAATGGAATGCAAAAAATTTATTCTGCATTACAATGGACAATGCAGCAGCTAATGATATCCTAGCTAAGTGTATAAGGACAAAATTGTCTGAGTGGGGATCGGATTTGATGGATGGGAAGTATCTGCAGTTTCGTTGTGTAGCTCGTATAATCAATTTGGTTGTTTATGATGAGCTTAAGGAGGTTGGAGAAGCAGTGGAAAGAGTTCGAGATTGTGTGAAATGGGTGAAGTCCTCACCAACTAGGGGGGCACATTTCATGGCTACTATTGCATTTCTAGAATTGGATGGGAGAAAATTGGTATCTTTGGATGTGCCTACTAGGTGGGACTCCACTTACATGATGTTGGAATCTGCAGAAAAATTTGAAAGTGCGTTTGATCTCATGCATCAAAGTCCACAATATTCTTCTTTTCGAGATTATCTAGATTCAAAGAAGGGTCTTCCATCTTCAGAAGATTGGCAGAGTATTAGGCGGTTAATGAAGTACTTGAAATTTTTTTGTGAGCTGATCATTCGTGTATCAGGTATGTGCACTATCAAATCATGTTTGTTTTCTTCATTTTCTCTAGTGTAATCAATAGTTCTAACTTGTTATTTGTAACAGGATCATCATATGTGACTGTACATACCTTCTTCAAGACCCTTGTTGACATTTATGAAGTGATAACAACATTGAAGGCTGATACGAACGAAGAGATGCAAAGAATGGCAGAAAGAATAGAGGCTAAGGTATGGAAATATTGGTTTGAGAGTGAGGAAGTTGAGAATATGAGGATGAACCGATTGATATACATGGCATGTGTGCTAGATCCTAGGCGTAAAGTTGGATATCTGTCTTGGATGTTGGAAGCTATGTATGGGAAGACTAAAGGGGAGGCTTTGACGGAAGAAGTAAGCAAAGAAATGGCTCAAATGTTTGAGGTTTACAAAGTGAAATATGCACCTCCTCCCTCTAAGATTATTGTTCAGATTGCTACTATTGAGAATACTACCAATGTTGGTGGTACAAGTAGTGAAACTGTGTTTATGGGTGGGAGATTTGAGGCGGAGTTCCAAAAGAGGAGAAAGGAGGCACTTGAGAGGAGGATTCGAAATAGTACCGAGTTAGACATCTATTTAAGAGATGTTCGTGATGCTATTAATGAAGACGATGATGATCAGAAGTTTGACATCTTGAAATGGTGGTCACGAAACAGTGTTAGGTATCCGATTCTTTCGAAGATGGTTAAAGACATCCTAGCTGTTCCTATTTCTTCAGTTTCCTTGGAAGCTGCATTTAGCTGTGGAGACAGAGTTCTTAGTCCATTCAAGTCCTCTTTAAACGCTACCACTGTGGAGGCATTGATTTGTGCTGAGAATTGGATAAGGTATCCAGATTCTGATGTGATCGATGATAAAGAAGATGATCAAGAGCAGTTTGACTATGAAAATGGTAAGTACTTTACTATTAATTTTCTTGCAACTTAGTAATCGATGGATGCTAACACTTTGTATTTTTTTTGTTAACACTTAGTTAATAATACCTGCCACACTCTAATGGAAAGTCAAAGTACAAGTGAACGTAGCTAAAGGAGGTGGGAAGTCAGAGTTTCTTAATTGATGTTGATGATGGAGGATAAGAAGAAACTAATCTTGATGAGGAGAATGAAGACCTTGAGAATGATGATGATTATGGTTATAATCTTTTGAATGCTTTCAATGAGCAAAGTTATGCAAATGTTGGTGGAGATGGAGGAATTAGTTCATGATGTTGTCATGTTGATGTTGGTATCTTGGTGACTTGGAGTTTAATTTAGATTTTCGACTCTGGAGAGTTTTATTGAGATTGTGAAGTTGGTGTTATTGTGTTATGTTTGGAAGGAGTTTCTTATGGATTGGACAAACCGGCTTTCGTACTTATTTGTCTAGTTGGTGACTTAGTCTTGTCACGTATTAATATTTGTAGACGATGATGAGTTGTTGAAGTTTGACTATTTGTGTCTAGTTTAGTTGATGTCTTGTTGATTCATGAATTTGTGTTATTGTGTATCTGTGTTCGATTAGCCTTTAATTTGGACGGTTTATGGATGTTAAATTGGTCTAGTTCAAACTTCAATGATAAAGGCTTGGAAAAAAGAAATTAACACGAGTATGTATGGAAAAAAAATCTACAAAAATGCACAATTAAAAATATGAGCATTTTTTTGTTCTGTTATGTTGTTTTTGTCTTATCGTGCTGAATCATTTGCTTAACGGTTATACGAATAACAGATAAAATAACATATAACCGACTAGACGGATACGGTTAGCTGTCTAATATAAACAGTGCAGTAAGTCCAAAATGTTTAACTGTCAACCGAGAACTGACTAAACTGATATGGTTTATGATCGAACCAAATCGATTAATAGTTCTAGCTAGCTAGATGCATCATGAAGCTTACCTTGCTGACATAGTTGAGGGCTATGTCCTTTATCTCCTTGTGTTTGAGTTGATTCTGGACCCAGATGACTAGCATCTCACAAGCAGTGTCCGCAACTGATGTTGGTTTCAGACTTCGTTAGAAGATGGGATGGAAAGGAAAAGGAAGGTATGTTTTACTTTACCTCCGTAAATTATCATGTCTTACTAGATGGTTAAGTTTGCTCAAATGTAACTTACAATGATCATCTCCCTTTTATTGTTTACATTTTTTGCTAGGAATTATCACTTGCTTTGGTAGAAGACTGGGGGGCAAGTCTTTCCATGTAATCTGTATATGTTCCTCTTCTGATTGATTTTCCGACATGATGCAGGGCAGATGCTGGTAAACAGCTGCAGCTTCAGCCGCGAGAGGAAGAAGCTGGATCTTCAGGACAAGTTTCCAGTTCAGTTAAAACTATGGCATCACTTGTTGATCTTCACTATTAAACGTAGCTATTATTCCTTAGACAAACTGTACATCTCATATAGGCTCGAGGAGCAGCAATAACAACAACAATAATCGTTTGGGTCAACACCATATGTTACACCATAGACACGAGTATCAGTAATCAAGGAGCAGCAGCACAATCGTTTTAGTCTGTTATTCAACGGCATATGTTACATCGCAGACACCAAGTAGAACTATACCCCCGCCTCACATGACATCGAGGTGATAATATCTTAGTTATGCGGCTTCAGCAAAACCCAGTTGAAGATTACCATAGTCAAACACCGTATGATACACACCCATGAACACATCTCCAAGAATCCTGCAATTAGAGAACTCAGGCTCTTGAACCACTTCCATTCAATCACTCCAGAATATTACAATACATCTAAGCGTTACTTACCACAAAGGACCTCGAGGAGGTGGGATGTCAAAAGCCATGAACCCACTGATGCAGATCTCCGCAATGCCTTTCCCGGTCTTCAGAACATACTGCAAAGTTTGCAAGGAATCGATCGATGAATGATTAATGGGTTGCAGCAGTCCACATCTACATGTGATATGGAACTCTCTTCACTTGTCAAGGGTAAAAATATTCTTACCTTCTTCGGAGTGAGGCTGAAGAGTTTCTCCCCTATGGTGAAAGTGACATTGGGCATGGTTGGAAGGCTGTTGCAATCAACTATGGACTCCCCTGATGGGCTCGGCAGGCTATCACACAGCTGTTATGAAAAAGAGATCAAATTAGCCTCAACCGATGGAGTTAGTTCTCTTTATTAGCTAGCTAGATACATCATGAAGCTTACCTTGCTGACGTAGTTGAGGGCTATATCCTTTATCTCCTCGTGCTTGAGTTGATTCCGGACCCAAATGACTAGCATCTCAAGCAGTGCACAGAAGGTCATCGTTAACTGATGCTCCCACATTACTTTCCTTCTCCACCACTTGCTCAATCTCGGAACTGTTACCATGCACAAGCATAGATAAAATACAACACATCAAACACACAATTACTCAGCGCAAGGGTCAACATTGAACGTTTCGTGCAACAACTACAGACCAAAGCTTATCACCTCACATACTGAGCTCCATTGAACAGGCACACGCCAAGCTGTGAACATATTTGATCGGGTTTTACCTGGTCATAGTAGCCAGCCATTATAGATGGTTGCGACGAAAACCAACCCAGGCAGAGAGAGAGAGAGAGAGTGTGTGTGTGTGTGTGTGTGAAAATTAACTCACCCCTGCAATCAAGAGATCCCATATCATGTCCCCATATTGATTAACCACTTCCTTGCACTCTTCACTCACGACCCCTTCAGCACCAATGGCATGATTGATCTCCGTGACAATACTAAGAATCAAATGTAAAAGGTAACACCAGATTTGGAACACTCCACTCTGAGAAATAGCTGGCGTAAATGTGTACTAACAGTTGGACCAGCTAGCAATGATGTCCCAGAATCCACAATTGCAGCACAACCCCCTTCGCAAACACCTAATGATTACGTCCGAAAACTTTATTAAACCCCTTTTCAAAACTCGCCAAAACGGACAACAAGAGAGCAACAGTAATAGATTTAAGCTACTAACCTGTAGAGAGGTTCCCGATCAGGAACTCTCCCATGTTGAACTGATCAAATCCAGAAATAGTAAAAATTAGAGAGTGCAAGCAGATGAAGCAAAGGAAAACTATATTAGAAGCAAACAAGCAAGCCAACCTTACCTGCCAATAACCCTTTTGGGTGACAGGGACATAAGTATGGTTTCCTTTGAAGTGGTTGGGATCACTGCCACCAAAAACTATCTCTCCTCCCTCTTGGGCATTTGGATCTCTATTCAGCCAAAATGAGAACACTTCCTCTTTCACAAGATCTTGCTGCACCATGTTGTACCTAGCATAATACCCAACATGAAAATCAGCATCATTTTGGAGAAGTTTTTACCAAGCTGGAAAGGGCATCAGAAAATGGAGATACCAACCAGACAGGGATGGCATCCCCAATAGAGATTTCCTGAAAGCCAAGGCCAAGTATTCCATCGAACTTAGCAATAAGAAAAGAAATATTGCCTTCTCGAGTAGCCTCGATAAAAACCTGAAACAACAGTAGATCGATTAGATTAGACACTTAGCCGTTAAGCTCAAGAGTTGCAGATGTTCCTAATTAGCTGCACCCAAGTGTATAGATGAACAACACCTAGCTATTAGATAACACAATACTAACTTGGTCCTTGACGACAAGATTCCCAAGTTCAACGTTGTCCTGGCTGAAAAACCCAGATATTGATCCAGACCCATAGTTGATTTCACAAGATTCTCCTGTATTGTGGTGTAATAATTTTATCAGAGGAGCCAGGAACATGAATGAATGAATGAATGAATGAATGAATAGGTTTAAGTTCCCATCAAATGGAACTTTCAAGTGTAGCGGATAACAAAGAGAAACTACCGTTGGTTTGGTATGTGGTGGAGCGGGTAGACTTGTACTTGGAGTGGAAATAACAAGGAATCTGCAACCCGGGGAACACACAAAATCATTGATTAAGCTGCTGATACATGGATGGAGGGAAGCCTCAGAGCCGAGAAAAGATGCATACAGAGAAGTAGCATTTGGAGGAGGGAACCCAGAGATTGGAGTTGCCGGTGTCAAAGATGACAGTGAATTTCTGGGGAGGGGTACCGATCCCGATTTCTCCAAAGTACTGAGCATCCAAGTAATTCTTCAGAGGGAGAGCCTCACTTCCACTTCCACCATAGCCGGTGGCCAAGAGGGATGCTCCTCCTCCTCGAACCCTTGTTGCTGCAGCTGCCTTTGCCTTAACATCGTCAAGACGGAGAGGACGCTTCCTGAGGCTTAGTCTCACTAAGCCGCCTGCGTCAGTGGAGGAGACTGAATGAGCCCCAGCAGTTGGGAGATGGGAGAGTAGAAGCTGCAGGAAGCATGGGATGACGATGGTGATGGTGAAGGCCACCCACCCAACTCCTCTCTTAGACTCCATAGTTCTAGCAGGTCAATTGTCAAGGGAAGAAGTGGGCTTGTCCTGTTTTTTTATCACCAGAAAGGTAGAAAATGGAGGTTGGAAATTTCCTGTTCTCGCTTTCAATTGGCCTGAGTGGCACTGGCAGAAAACTCCAAAGACCTGAGACAGTTACCTCGCCCATGGCCTACCCAACCCAACCCATCCTATTCCTAGGATTGAAACTGAAAGCGACATTTATCTTCTTCACAAGGGATCAGTGGAAGACAATCCTTTTTTTCACCGGCAGCAGACTCTAGAGGTACAGCATCTGAAAGATAATAATCCTGCTTTCAGACGAAGATTCCAATTTCATCAATTCGGGTAGGAATAGGGAAACAAACAATGAACAGGGGAAGGCAAGAAAGCCGTGATACCTGGCCTCTCGCAGTACAAGAGAAGTCGAGAGCTTTTCTCTAGGGAACAGAAATTGCCGGCGGCCATAGGCGAGGTCTGTGAGGATAAGTTGTGTCAGTCCGGTGGATAATTTCCCTGCTTTAGGGCCATGGTTGGCATAGTTGGGCCATGGGTATTAAGCCCAAAAATTCTAATGAGGCTCAGTCAAGGGGGTCGATACCCAACCCAGCCTGATCTAAGTGAGTCAACTCCACTCGGGCCTTATATTTTCCTACTATTACGTATAGTGATAGGGCAAAAGCATATGCCTTAATCCTATGTTGTAGTAAAACCGGAAAGTCCGGGTATCGTCTCTCAGGGACTGGTACAACCTTAAGATTTACCGATTTAATAGAGCAAACTATAGGTGAAAATGGTTTAATGAGATTATTAACTACTAGCAAAATCAACTAAACAAGCAAAGTAAATTGGTCGGGAGAAATTCAATGGGAGAAAGCTCTGGGAGAAACACCGGGACTCACTACCTATCCTATCCAGATTAATTCACATATTCTAATCAGTTTAATCCAATTCTCTACAGCCAGGATATCACGAATGTGCTAGCTATCCCTGTCGGGAATTACTACGTACTAAACAATTAATTCAAATCCTACTGTCATAGCTCAATGAATTAACTATTTAGCCTGAAGAACGATATCCCAATCAAGACCGCATAGTACCTTATTTAATCCACTGTCGCTTCGATAAGTTACTATGTCACATGAAATAGGTTCAGTTATTAGGGTTTCACTGTCGCTAATAACCTAATTAACTACAAATCATTGTATTGGTGGCCAGTCAACACAAAGTATTAAGCAATTTCATGCAATAGAGATTGGAAGAAAAGAATTATGAATCAATCCATCAAATCAAGAAATAGCTACATCCTATGGTGTTTCCCCCAGAAATTGGGGTTTAGTTCATGACGAAATTAAGATAAAACATTAGGGTTTTGATCATCATGTTCCAAATCAACAATAAACAACTAATTTGGTTCAGAAAATCCAACCAAATAATCGCTCTCGTTGAACTCAGCTCAAACCGTCTTGGAGAAGTTGATCGCCAATTTCCCAACCCGGCTCGTCCCAAAGCTCTCTTCGCTGCGCCCTGCTAATTCTCTCCGAGAAGAGTTCCGTTCCGCTCTTTTTCTTCTCCAAAGAATCTCGTCCCCAGCTTAATTGCCTTCCCCCTAATTCCTCATGTAAAATCCTCCTGGGCAAATAAAAATCACCAGCCCGTCCTTTAATTGCTTCCTGGACAAATCATTTGGGCCAAGAATTCCTCCGCCCAAAAACGTGTCCCTCCTGGCCCAATTGCGTCTCCTCCCGAGACAAAGCGATTTGGGCCCAATTAATTGCTTGTGCACTCGCTTCTTTTTCGTGCTTTCTTCACCTGTATCATATCAAACTCATGGCACTAGACAGTAATGATTTTTCAACCATTTCCGGGTTAGCGAGCCCTAAAATAACACCAATCGGCTTAAACAGATCATAGGATAGTCACATAAAGTTCAAGAATCAGATATATAATAGCCGATTATCACAACCCCACACTCAAATGTTGCTTGTCCCTAAGCAACGACTCAAAAGACACAAACACATAACTATCCAAAACAATGACACACCACAGACTCACTAATCAAAGCAAAACACAAAATTTCCTTGTACTCTTGATGTAATGAGTGGTTTCTTTCTCAACGGATAAGTTGTGCTTTAATGGTCATACCTTTCACCCCACACTCAAGTTCTTTGCAACCATTACCATTGACTGACTCAAATCCATCCAAAAACTCAATTAGCAACACTCAAATTCGATCGTCGGTAGTGGGTGATTAACAACTTATGATGCAATAGTTATTAGGAGAATCTAACCACATCAGTGAGGTGCATATCTCGTGAGGACAGTCTGGCTTACTCACACCAATCATAAGCAATTAATTAAGCATGAGTCTCAAAAACTAATGGGGGAAGCCTTTCGCAAACAAGATTTTAACTTTAAGCACATCACTACCTTTTATGACAAGGAGAGGCTTGCTCTCTTTCTGCTTTTGCTTGCCGAGTGGTCGTATTTAGTACAAGTGGGATTTGTTTCTTACTACCGGTGACCGAGCAAGAGCAATTTCTGCTTCTTAACACTCGCATAAGGGCTTCTTTCAACTCCTTTTCCTCGGTCCGTGTGGAGGGTCATTGCATCCTCAAATGGCACTTCACTCAACTGGGGATCGTACTTGATAAGCAACATCGTACGGTCGCGAACCGATTCTCAATTGAATCTTTCCTCATCCAAATGTGCAATGAGTGATTGCCTCACACGATTTTGGCATTTTTACCCACACTTTAATTGTTATGGCAACTTTCTTATATTTTACTTGTCAGGTAGTGTTTTCTCATTTATAAAGATACAATTCACCCCATCATAAAACATTCAAAACAGAGAGACTCATTGCAAAATCAAAAACTCACAATTGATGCAAGTAAGCACGGTATCCAAACATGTCGAATGGTCAATGTTCTCCACCTAACTACTTCACCAAAAGTCATTACACTATCCTTACAAAAGAGAATGTTGCTAAAAGAGTAGCTCATTCCAAGCATATCAAGTTAGTCAAAACATTTAAGCTCATTGTGAAGAACCATGCAATTCAACACTAGTGGGGTGATTTCGATGATTTCATTCAAGCACAAACTCATTTTCAAGGCATCACGGTCATTTACATCATGTTACCACAAGAGTACAAGGTTTTGTTTTTAATTTTTCTCATTTTTAGGTGTTTTTTAGCCATTAGCTTTGCACAGGCAGCTTGCTTTTTGCACAGGCAAACTGCATTCAGTTTGACTGTGCATAGCCAAATGACAGTTTTTTTTTTTACCACATGCAATAGGGACAAATAAACACTAAGACTCGCCATGGTGTCAGAAGTGGGGGGTTTTTTTTGGAATTTTTTTTTTTTACCGACCACATGACAAAAGGAACAAACAAACACTAAGACTCGCCACCCCACACTCAGGATGGAACATTGTCCCTAATGTTCAACTCCTACTCTAAACATGCACGGGTTTGACACAACAAAAAAGAAAAAATAAAGAAAAGAAAACTCACCTTGGGTTGCCTCCCAAGAAGCGCTTGTTTAACGTCCTCAGCCTGACGTTCATGGAGATTTCAACCAATGGGTATGGAAAGGTATCCAGAATACCCTCCCGAGCAATGATAGAACGCATACCCTCCATCCAGCATATGAGTCACCTCTGCAGGGCCAGGTGTGCGAAAATTGGGTATGACCTTCTTAGCTGGCATGTTAGACCCTTTAGTGAGGCGTAGGTGGTACTGCAGCGCCTCAAGCAGGTACTCTTCCTGTTTCAATGTCAGTGAAGAAGGAATAATAACAGGAAGATTGAAATCCTTACCAAAATATCTATACTTGAGGTGACCTGGCAAGGATTTCTGCCCTTGCTTTTATTTCAGAATCTGAGCAGATAGGATAGGTGATAGTTCTTCGGATGGTCCACTATCACAGGAAGAGGAATTTTTCCTTTTTCGAGCTCCACTTTCAAAGTCATCAAATGCATCGTGATTATGATCAACTTGAAAGACATTAAAAATTTCCTCCTCCTTACCTACTCGGAATGTCAACTTCCCTCTCCCGACATCGATGAGTGCATCACCAGTGGCTAGAAAAGGGCTCCCAAGAATGAGAGGCACTCCCCGATCATCTTCCATCTCCAGAATTACAAAATCTGTTGGGATAATAAACTTCCCCACCTTCACCAATACATTCTCCACCACTCCCTTTGGAATTTTCACTGATCGATCGGCCAATTGGAGAGTGATCCGAGTAGGCTTAAGAACATCTCCCAATCCCAATTTCTGGTAGACTGAGTATGGCATTAAATTTATTCCTGCTCCAAGATCACAAAGTGATTTATTGAACTCTGTACCTCCAATGACACATGGAATGGTGAAGCTGCCCGGATCATCCCTCTTTTCTGGTAATTTATTCTGAATCACAACACTACATTCAGAAGTAAGGGTTACCTTCTCCAGATCAGCCCATTTGCACTTCTTCGTCAACAACTCCCTTAAGAATTTAGCATATGTAGGCATCTGTTCAAGTGCCTCCGCCAACGGTATGTTGATATGAAGTTGCTTGAAGATATTCACAAATTTCTTGAAGTTTGGGTCTTCCATGGGCTTCATTAACCTTTGAGGGAATGGTGCGGGAGGTTCATAAGGCTTTACCTCTTCGCTCTTCAATTTTTCCACTTTTTGAGGTACACGGGCAGATTGCTTTTGCACAGGCAGATTGCATGCAGTTTGCCTGTGCAAGTCAGATTTTTCAGCTTTTGCACTTTCTTCATCCTCCATCTCTGCAGCTCCTTTGCCCTCCTTTTCTACTGGATTTTTCTTGCTCTTTGGATCCTCCAACTCCTTCCCACTCCTCAATGTGACTGCTACAACCATGGCATCCTTTGGATTCCTCTCGGTATTAGCCGGTAATGTCCCAGGAATCCTGCCATGCATATCCGCCAGAGTTTGAGCCATCTGTCCCATCTGCCTCTCCATAGCTAGCATAGACGATTGTAAATTAT